AATAAGTAGCCTCGGGATAGAAAGAAATATTGATCTTCGATAGGTTTTGGATCTAAGTAATAGTATTTGTTGTTGGAAATAAAAATTGCAAAATGAGATCGTTAGTACTAATGGGAAATAAATAAAATAACAAAAACAGAAAATTCAATCAACCGTGTCCTGGCAAAGGCTACTACCTTAAAAACTTTCACTTATTTATTCTAATTTCTAAAGATCAAATAAAACGTTAACAACTAAAGAACAATCAGATTCAAGAAGTATATATTTATCGTGATGCAAATGTTTCAACCACGATCATGCTTTGCGGATCGCAACCTTGGGATGTAATGGTAACCGCCAGTGATCTGATGAGCATCAAGGTTCCGATGGACAGCCCCACGCACCAAACTCCGTGACGGCCCCATAAGGAAAAAGCGCTGCATCGACGTTACGTTTAAAGACTTCCGATTGCCGGCCTCAGGGCCGGCCCTAGGCCAGGATAGAAGGGGCGCCCGCTCAGGACCCACAAAATAAATTTTTTTAGTATTATATTTTTTTTATTTTTTTGATAATAACTTAAAAAATTGTAAAATAAAATAAAGTAATCTATGAATTTAGTACATAAACTATTAGTTTTGATCCATTTTGATACATAAACTTTTATTTTTTTCAAAATCATATCTAACGTTTAGTTTTCATTTCATTTTAGTATCTGTCATTAAAAACTTAACGCATTTAGTACCTAACTATCAATTTTGGTTTGTTTTAGTACCTAAATTTTCAAAAAAAATTTAAAACTTAACGTTAAATTTTGAATGTGTACTAAAATGAAATAAAAAAACTAAACTTTTTAAAGGCGGGTACTAAAATGAAACAAAAATTAAATTTTACGTATGGTTTTGAAAAAATTAAAAGTTTAGGTACTAAAACAGACCAAAATTAAAAATTTAGGTACGAAACACGTAATTTACTCAAGAAAATAACGGGGCCTATGAATTTATTAAGGTGTGAATTATATTTATTGAATTTTATATTAACGTTAATAAATTGTTCTTCTATAAAATTCTAATTTAATATTTCTTTCTCAAAATTAAAAAAAAAATCAATTTAACTCTTTAATTTTGGTCTTTCCAAATTCTCACTATCAATTCACCAAATCTCTTTCTCGATTTTTCATATCAATAAAAAATTTTATTAACATAATTTTTCAAAACTTAATGAGAAGAAAAAATTTAAGTATAATTATCATGATTCTTTTCTCTTTCATGTTTCACAATTCATCTGAAAATTATTATTCACATTTTTTAATTTATCATATTTCTCTCACAAGTAAGGTCACAATTGTTTATTATCAATTATGGTGCTTGAATCATATTGAAGATTGTTCTTAAAATTCTAGGTAGACCACATTTTCAAATTCTTTCTTTTAATTTTATATATTTTCAAATTCTAGATAAAATCGTTCTTTTATTTTCAAATGTTATGTTATGTATTGAGAAAAATATATTGGAAAACATTGATGTTGATACTATCATCATGGTTTTGCATAAAAAATGACCGAATGTAATATTTTTTTATAAGTATTTATATTCTTAAATATATTTTTTGACATATTTTATATTGTAATGAATTACTATTTTTTAATTTAATAAAAAATCTAATTAAATTACATGTTTTTTAATTTTTTTATATTAGGGGCCCATTTTTTATTTTTGCCCTGGGCCTAAAAATAGTCAAGACCGACCCTGGCCGGCCTAGTCCGCATGCTCTTTGTCGATGTTCGAGAAATTGGAGCCTGCTCAACAGAGTCGGACACCTGTTTTGCATTACGCCAAGTAGGAATTTGCAGAATAAATTATTTGAGATGATCACACTTCTTCCTGCTGCCAACACAACCTGTTTTGAGATTCCGGTTTTATCTTTTGGATTCGTACTTCCTTGAACTCGGGTTTTTCTTTTCAATGTACAAACTTCCAACTTTAGTTTCTCAGGTTCAAATCGTTTTAGGCTCGGATAGACACTAATAGAATTTTGAGTATGGATCTGTGTTTACCAGTCCTGATGAATATGGTTTTGAGGTCAGTTGTCGTTGAGGTTGAGCTTCCTTCGATGGTTATTATGTCATTATATTTATATAAATGTAATACAAGCGGAATTGTTGTCGCCGTCGATGGTATAAATTGGCCCTTACGTCCCACACAAGTGGGGAATAAACTGACAGGTCTTGTATGTATTATAAAATGGAGCTAATAAGCAATGTGAAATTTATCTTTGCGCTTGGTGCGTCTATTGTTGGTTTCCAAACCCCCTCTTAGGCCTGGATTCTACTGCCCTGGCCTTCGAGAATTTCCAAACTAGTTTGCAATTTTTTTACAAGTAATACCAAATTTTATCCTTTAGAACTTGTCCTTTTCCAAGGGCAGATGATCAATCTTTTGGATAATTGAAAATTCTATATTCAAAAGATTCAATCTGCCAACGAACTAAATATTTAAAACAAAACAATAAACCTTCAGCCTCACAAGTGGCTCACCAACTTTGTCTCTAGAGAGTACACCCTCTGGAAATGTCGCCGGTCAGTAATGGATTCGTTCCATGCCAAGCAAAACATGGGCATCAACGATTTCCCTCTAACATTACCGCACCCGCAACTAAGCTCCTAATCCCGTCACATAACCGGCCTTGCCAAGTTATAAGCCTGCAGAATATGGCCCCAACCTGTCTAGAGTACGCACACTTGAAAAACATGTGATCACTGGTCTCAAGCTTGTTCAAACACATCATACAAACGCTATCAATGTTTAAACCAAGCGTCACGACCGACTCCTTGTCGGAAGACTATCCAAAACAACCATCCCAAAAATGACAGAGTTCTTTAGTATGTGGCCTAAATGCCACACCAATCTAATCCCAAGCCACCCTCTCTCCCTACGGATGACCTTCCAAAATTGCATTAACTAATACCGAAAGACCGACAAGGTCTTCAACCGATGCAGCCTTAGATCTCAACTGAATTTTCGATATCCATTTTCGCTTAAAATAATATTATTATTTAAAATCACATTCAACTGCAAAGCTAGTTTTCTTTACCAAAAACAAATCTTAATATCTAACATTGCATAGAGGAACAACAATAATAATATACACCAAAACGTATGTTTTCATAGACAATCTCAAAAAATAAAAATAAAAAGGGAAACTAACTGACGATAACTTGTCTATAGCAAGGATACACCTATAGTTGAGTTCTTCAAAGTCCTAAAATCCCATATCATTTCTGTTAATATTTACCTTAAGAGAGGCTAGAGATGAATGCCGTTTAGAGAGCTCCTTGGCTCCAGGCAGAGTACTGGTTCTGAAAAACGGAGGATATGCACCGTAATGGTACATTGAAGTGATTGAATTCTCATGGAGGGACATACTTGAGCACACCGATGGAATTAAGGCTTCACTTGGTGCATGAATTCTTGTATATTTCTTCCTTACTCCTCAAGACTTAATATGATTTGTCATTTGTGTGTTGGGAATGCACGATTATTATTTGGTTGATTCTTTGATTCATCTCGTTTGTTTTCAATGTTCATTCTAGACAGTAACGAATTTAATATCTAAATACAAAGGAAAAATACAACATAACAAAAACTTTAAATAAATAATAAGATAAACGAGAAAACAAAATTTGTATTACATAACCAACAAATCTTTAGTCTATCATCGAAGGATTTATAAGATACCAAAATTAAATTTAATCTTTTAAAAATTCATAACAGTCCGTCCTTCAAATAAAAGATCGGAGTGTTTTGCAAGTTCGATGAATATTGTTTAGTAAAAAAAGCTATGGGTGCACAAAATTGAACAAAGCTAAAGAGCTTGTAAGAGATACCATGAATGTTTTTGGATCACGTTTTGTTGTTTAATTAAGAACCCTTTTAGAGAATATGGAAGTTGAAATGTGATTGAACCATTTTTAGATGCACAATGTTGACTAAAATCCCACATCCCTAACATACGACAAACATGAAACAAGGATGTTGTATAAATAGAGAGCATAACCCGACGCTAGAACATACTTACCTGGACGGGGTCAATGGGCGATCAAGAAGGCTCATGGCCTGGAGCAGTGACCTCCATTGCACTGGGGAGGGGTGCCGCTCTAAGGTCTCCCCTAGTGGGAGAGCCTACGTCATTATTTGTTGCTGAGGGGGCTTGCGTTCGCGCAGCCCCTACCATTTCTAAGTTGTAATTTTTGTTTTTTTTAATTATAATAAGAATTGATTTTCAATAATGGTTCAATGATTGAAAATCTAAGCAGTCCTATTATATTTTAGTTTATTCCTATAATCTTCAAATTCTTAAAAACAAAGATTTAATGTCTATAACGATATAATTGGATGTAAGTTTCGATATTTTAAATTGTATCAAACCTATTTAATTTTAGTTAATTCATATGATCTTGAAAATCTTAAAATGTTTAAAACAAAACGAATCACTTTGCTCTTCAATAAATTTCCAAGTAAAGTAGTAGATAAAATTATTGTTGAATATAGTAAAAGATAAAACCAATCTTTAAAGATTGAATATGATATTTTGGTATTTGGCATTGAAGTTCACATAAACTTTGATAATTTTGATCCAAGCTTGATTAATTGAACCGATATGACAACAAAAAATTCGATATATAAATCCGAATATGATGGTCTGAATTTGATTCAAAATTTGAAAACAAACTAAATTGAATCAAAATCGATCCGAATTTTAGTTACATCAATATTAATCTGATTTGATTAATTATTGAAAAAAGGACATTAACATCATCTATCAATTTGAACTTTTAAAATTTAAATACTAATAAAATGACTTTCCTTTTCAAATTTGGATATTAATTTAAGACATTCAAATATTTGATAACAAGTTAAATGGTCGGGACAAATAGATGGCCCTATATCCCACGTCTAATGAAAGATTAAGTATATTAGTCTTGCATTTATTATAAAATGGAGCTAGCAAGCTTGATTAAAAGCATCATTTGTGCTTGGGGCAATGACACAGCTAGTGAGATAATAACCGAAGCGCGTCTATTGCCTGGTTGAAAACTATTTCCAAACCCCCTCCTAATTCATGGTTCTGCCTTGGCCTTGGAGAATTTCTGGAAGGGCTCCTATCGGGTAAAACCCTACGATTTTCATTGTTTACAAGAATTTCATAATCTCCGGAAGTACCAGCATGGTTCGCCGAACTTTGTACATGGCAAAGATTCCAATATGGAAGGGTCATTATTTTCTTTTCAGAACAGATATTTTCTTTCTTGTGTTTTGAAGCGTTTAGTGTAAATTAGAACAGTTAAAGCAGTACTCTAATGTCATTTATCATGAAATTATTGTTACTTCAATATCATTTATATCAATTATTGTAAGATCATTATTCTTTTTGAAAAATAAATGTTTGATAGGGGATGCATATAGATGGCCATTAGCCTTATATAAAAAAACGAGATGTTTTAAAATTTATACATGTCTTTTTCCCTTTTTGGGAAAGGATAATGATCTCATGTCAAGTGTTATTAGGATGATTCTTTGACTGTGTTATTTCAAGTTGAGCGTCCTTGTGAGTACGATAGGGAAAATAGACATCCATGACGAGAGTGTCATGAAATTATGTAGGAGAGAATGTCATGCCTTGGAGAGGTGGTGGAGACAATGATCCTATGTCTAAAAGGAAAAGAGATATCTTAGAGTGGTGGCATTGCACATATCCTTTTAGACATGTTCGGTCTGTGGACACATAAAAGAAACAAGTAAGGGGATAAGAGATCACCTTGCCTTTGTAACACCTCAAATTCTAGGATAGTAGTTTCGAGTTTACCCGAGAGGTAATTGGATCTCGTGAAATTCATTAGTAAAGTCATTGGGCCGAGTTGGGCTTAATTAGGTTTGAACTTGGGCCTAATTAGCCATAAAAGAGGGTTTTTAAATAGTGAAAATATGAGGAAGGACCAAAAGCGTAATTTCCCCATTTTGTAACGATGAGGGTTTTTATATCTCATTTCATCCACCTCATTTCCTCTTCTTTCATCTTCTCTAAGTAACCATAGCTCAAAGGTAAGGTATTGAGCCCTTTTCATGCTTCATTTTCGTTTATAATCCCCCCTTGCAATATCGTTTTAATGGATCAAAGTCTTGGTTTATTCCTAGCTAAAGAAAAGTGGGGGTTTTCATCCAAATCACCAAGGGAAGGTGTGTGGCTAAGCAATGAGCTTCATTTCGGGATTTAAACATCAAGGTAGTGTATTTCTAATCCTTTGAAATTACTAAGATTTGGTTATTTAAGCATTTTAGGGTTTTTCTTTGAATTCATGATCAAATCATTCTTTAGGTGTTAAGGAAGTGTTTTTATAACACCTCAAGACCCTAATTAACTCTATAAAGCTTCATAACATTATTAGGAACCAAACCAAGTCATTTAGGATGATTTCTGGGTGTTTTTTGAGCCTAAATAAACCATTTTAGGGTTAGAGTATGAATATTGGCTAGTTAAATTAAGGCAAAAATTAGTGTAGTATCGATATTCAAGGTGACAGTATCGATAATGAGCCCCTTTTTAGCAATAGAATGCATTTTTGGTATTGATACTCACAGGGGTATTGATTATTGACCCTAGGGTATTGATATTTTAAGTAGAATATCAATATTACCCATTTTGAATGGTTAGATTTGACTTGTTTAAGGTCCGTAGGAGCTAAGGACGATCCGTAATAGTAAGACTTAGTCCGTGAGGGACATAAATGACAAAAAATTTAGCGACTTTTTTACAGCTATAGCAGTATTTTAAAGCACTGCTAAAAATCCTCGTGACGCAAAAAAATGCCACAAAAAATGCCAACTATACAAGTGTCGCAACAGTTAGCGACGTTTTAAGTTAACAACCGCAACAAGTCGGCGTTTTTGTTACAAACGTCACAAAAAGTTCGGCTATTTAGCGGCATTTTTGTTACAAACACCGCTAATAATTAAGTACATAGTGGCATTTTTCCTACAAACACCGCTAATAATTATGTATTATAAGCATTTTTCCTCACAAACACCGCTAATTTTTTACTCCATTAGTGGTGTTTTTATCCTAAAACACATCTAATCACAACTTATTTTCAAAATGTTTTTTTCCACTTTGTATTATCCAAATTTAATGTAACAATCTCCAATAACAACCTTAAAAGTAATTAAGATTCGAATTAAGTAGAAATACGTAAAATATGAATAAATCAAAGTTAACAAATATCCAACTGAAACGTAACGTAGTTCAACATTATTCAATAGAATATGAACCTAAAAAACCACTTAAGATGCTTCAATGAAAAGACAAAATGATGACTCCATGCACTTTAGATGCAAGTGCTTCGTGCCAACTGCTGAATAAGATTGTCCACCATGTGCTTTCCTGCTGCCTAGATGCAAACCAACTTTGTACCTGATACACAATAATGAAATTAGTGATCATAGTAGTCATAGTAGATATCCAAAAGTATTCAACACAAACAATGTAACCAAAATCAAAAGAAAAGAGGAGAAATAATAAGATAGTAATGGAGTGAAGAAAGACCTCAGTCCATTTAACAATAGGTTTGCCAGCACGAGCCGAGGGCGAAATGCAAAGATAATATTGCATCTAGTCGAAATTGTAATTATTAAACAAACTGAAAGTGTCAAGCCATGTAATTATCAACATTTGCAATTTCTTTTAAAACATAATTGAAACAAGTTCAGAAATCCCAAATAAGTTCAGAAACACTGAAAATGCAAACCAATTCATTGTTAACCAAGGATCAAGAGCCCTAAAATAACAAACATTTGAAATATACCTAAAACAAATTATTAAATACAATTATTACCTAAAACAATAGTTTGGGCCATCGGAATTACCTAAAACAACTAAATTCAACTAATAAATTCAATAAACTGTTTAAAGTCATATCAACCACTAATTCCATTATTACCTAAAACAATAGTTCGAACCATCTGATTTTAAAGCCATATCCACCACTTAAAATAAAAAATTCAATTATTATCTAAAACAAATAAATTCAACTAATTAATAGCAAACTATTGTATTCCTCCACTAAAAGTTGGTTGTGCTTAGAACCAATTCAACTTGAAAGATAACATCCATAAATCTACTATCTCCTAATCTCTCAAATTTATTTATTCTCATTTCCAACAATTTTACTTTAGAATCAAAGGCCACACAGGAATCCTAATTCCAACTTTTCAACGCCCAAAGAATTGCAAGTAAACGAGGAAATAATTTCAGCCTACTTAAACATGAATATTTCAAAGTTACTGTCAAGCTAACTGGCAGGGAAACCTAAAGTAAATGTCGAGTAGTGCACACCTCTTTTAGGGATGGGATAAACAACATGGATAGTGGGACAGATGATGATATTATCTTGGCATTTTCTTCATCATCACTCGGTTGACGTATCCTTGGAAATAATCTTTGTGCATCCAAATAGTCACGGGAACTTCTGGAGAAAAATAATAATACTCAGTGATAGTAACACAGCCAAAATAAATAACCAAATCCATATAAAATTCTCAGCATCGGTCAAGAAAGATAAATAACAAATACCACCTCTGCAAGATTTGATGCGCTAGCTTCAACTGATGCACTTGAAGTTCTCTCTTGACTTCCTAGCCTGGATCTTGGAGTTCGAGGAGAATCTGATTCATCATGTTGGCCACGCAAAACAACAGTTCCAAAGGTAGAAGCATATGCGCTGCTAGACTACACAACACATTGAAATCTAATACAATCAATGGGTGGGACAGCTCCTGTTTACACCGCCCAAAGAATTCACACTGATGGTGGAAGTCCCGAAAGTGTGACCAAAGAATTAGCCACCATCCAGTTCTCGTCCCTAAAAACTCTGTCAACTTATTTCTTCTTCTATTTGGCCCAAACCAAAAAAAATTTCCCCTGTCAATGGAGCTGAGCTGCTTAAATTCTCTATAAATAAGTGAAATCGACTACTCGGGCCCGATACTTCCTACAGTCACTCCTTTCACTTCTAATGCGCACAATATTACATATGCCTCCCATAAACCGGACACCTTGAGTACTACCATTCCGAGGTGCTAACTCTCTCCACAGACACCTCTGTTTGGTTATCTCGCAAGGAACAAAAACATTCATAGGAACCATAATTTGAATTATCCTCCATCCATATACCTTCCAACATCAGAGTGCGACCAAACACCTTTCCATTGAAACTTACTTTTATCACAAAACAAGACCAATCCCCCCATCCTCTCTAAAGCTTCTGAATCTCTAAAGCCAAACTCAACATCATATACCAAACCATGCTTACAGTACCTCACGAAATTTCAATGGAAGCTATTTCTTTCACCAAATCAAAATTTCAATGCCAAGACCAAGACAGGTCATTGTAATTAAGGCTTGGGTTTGTATTTTTACATACATATCTTGGCCCAAAGAGTAATTGCAGAGCACCTTCTATTTTACACCATCATTTCCCTTTAGATCTGGACCTTGAATCAAAATTAAGCAATGCCAACGGAGAGAGAAAACCTAATAATTTCAACATAAAAGACAAACACTTGGATCCATACTGATAAAAAAGAAGAAAAACATTGTCGATCCTAACAAGATCTTTTGTTTGCAGAGAAACGTAATTAGAACAGGAAACCAGCATTTTGAAACCCTAAATCAAAGTGCAACAGTGCAGTCCTAGAAATAAAATTACAAAATCTGCAGCCAAGGAACAACTCAGAGAAGCAAAGGAAGGATTTGAACGTTTACCTCGACGGGGATGAAAGAAAATTCGAAAAGGAGATCGAATGTTTTTCCATTGAATCACGGGAATGACGACGATTATGGTTGGGCTGACTCGGAATAATGTGAAGATTTTGATGGGCATGGCAGTTAAGGCCACGACAATGTCAAACGGCGGCAAACTGCTACATTTTCGTGAGAGGGAGAGAAACCTTTGAGAAAAATGGGTAAGGGAAGAAGAGAGAAAAAAGGGTTAAATGTTTTTGGAACTGAACGCGCTAGATATGACAAACTCCACTAAAATACTATAAAACCGCGGCGTTTTTAGTTAAAACGTTACTATATGAATATTATTGCTGTGATTGTACTAAAAACTCCCCCAATATA